ATTTTGCTGTGCTTCCTTTAAAATGCCAGAATTTAGAAAAACATAACTTGTGACTCAGTTGTGGTTGATGGCAAGAAGAGAAACCCTTTCTGGTGTTTGCTACCTCCTTCACATAGCACCATCTGAAAATGGCACACTCAGGTGTTCATCCCAGCCCTGTAATCACTTCTAAGCAGTAGGAAGCAATAGGGGGTGAATGCAGTTCCCTGGAGCCTGGCATTCCAGCAGCCCAGTGACAACATCCAGCAATCCATAGGTTTCCCAGTGCTGCATTTGCCCGTGATTGTTGCATCAGCCCCATTAAATTCTTTTCCCATCTTGCTCTTTCCAAAAGTTATAAACAATTAGAGTTTATACAGGATAAAATAAATTAAAAGCAATTTACAGTCAAACTTTTTTGGCCTTTCTGTGGAATTTGGAAGAGGGGGAGGTCTCTCTTTGCTTGTCTGAGATAAAAAATCCAGCTGCAAAACCTGGTGTGGCTTGAATCTTCCTTTGGCCATGATATAGTTGAATGTTTCAGATGAACATGAAAAATGCTGAGAACTCTGGTACAAGTGGTGCATCTCTGGTGTCTGTTGCGTACTGTCAGAAGCAGAGGCAGAAACCTGCACAACCCACTTCTTCTGTGAAAGGTTTATTGGAGTGTGACTCTGGGAGGTCCAGCACAAGCACCATTCACTTGGCTGCTGCACTTTTCTCACTGGAAGGGGTCAGGCTCTTGGAAAGATGCCTGGTTAGAAGAGTAACAAGATGCTCCATATGGAGCCAGCTTTGTGAACTCTACTCTCTTTATATGTCCTGCCCCCTCGGGCAGGGGAAATAGTTCCCAGGAAAGGCATTTTAAGTTCAGCTGACAGTGGTATTGATAAGGGATACAGGTACATTTATTGGAATATGTTTCACTCTTCTGAATAGATTTCCTGCTGTGTTGTTAAAAGGGGACAGTTTCCTGAAATGCTTCATTTCAAATGACCAAAGAAACACTTTTCCTAGATACTGATATACTGAAAGATGTTGGATTCCTTGTGTTACTTTAAGGCAACAGCAACAGCATTGCTGGAGAAGATAACTCACTACAAGAGTCAAAGTAAGCCTTTTCTTTCTTTACCTGGCAGGTTCCAATCCACCAAAATCTTAAAGAGCTCCTGGCCATCCGGGCAGAGCTTCAGAAGAAGGTTGAAGATTTGCAGCGGGAAGCTGCTACACGTTCCATTTCTTCCTCCTCTGACAGAGGTTCATCTCCCTCCCATTCTGCCACGCCAGTGCACACCTCTGTGTGATGTGGAACAAAAGCCATGTGAAAAAAAAAGCAGTATCAGGTAATACAGAGAGGAGGGTGAAATGCTTTTCCCATCACAAAAGGATTGTGAGTGACTTGTAATTGCTATGATCTACATGCCTTATTCTGTGTCTGATATTATCACAATGAGGCCAAAAAGAGCTTCAATAGATGTGATGTATTTTCTTGTTGGCAGTTCCCACATGTGTTTTGACATTCTAGCTAAATCACCAATTGTGAAATTAAACTTTGTTTTGAGCAACTAACAATTTAACCATCCTAAAAAGGAATCCATCTGCCAAGCAGACAGAAAAATGCCTCTCACACTGCGTAGGGTACCATGCCTGGTTGAGAGAATCAGATGAAATGCCACATGATGCTTACACAGAACGTTTTTCTGAATGGGAGCTCCTTATTTCACTCAGTAATATATATATATTTTTTTTTGCTAGAGCGATTTATTTTTTTTAGGGTGATGCACTTGGAAATTGATTTTAAAATAAATGTTTTCCAGTGTAGTCAGTTTTACATTTTGACTAAATATGCCATTAAAAGTGGATGCAGTTAAGCTGGATTTATCGAGTACACCACACTGACTTGTATGATGTAATATATTTGGTAAAGCATGTATTTTAGGTTTTTTAATGCCTTTTGTACAAGTTGAAATAAAGTCTTTTGACTGTTTAGCTTATTGTTCAGTTTCAGCCTCCTGGGCGAGGGGTAAACTTACTCATGTCAAGGTCTTGTACAAAGTAAAAGTTTGTTTTCTAGCAAATGGTAATATTTGGGGTTGGAATGACACCCAGCTGTGTAAATTGTATAGTCTGTATAGCTCCACGTTGTTAAGTGTGTTTTGTTTCAGAGTGTACACACAAAATGCAAAGCTGTGTGCATTTATACCCATGTGTATGTGATGTTAAACATATGCATCCTCCCGTGGGTTTAAGCTGTGTGTTCAGAAAATGGATCCTGCCTGTCCAAAATCTTTTGAGGACCTTAACTTGCAATGACTTTGTTTGACAAAGTTTTTGAGTAATATGATAATAATTGGTTTTCTTGAAATAAAGCCTCTTGGCTTTTTGTTTTTTAAGTTCCTACTAGCATTTCTTCCGTAAATGAATAATTTAACTGTGTTTTCATGTAAAATATACATTCTCAACTTTCTTTCATCTCCCCCCCAAAAATACTCATATCGGAGAGATTTGATTACTGTAACATTCCACCTTTTAGAAAATTATTCAGTGGCCTTCCTGGAAGGCCCAGAAATGGTGCATGCTGCAAATTTTCCCTGGATTGTTTTCCTTGCCGTGTTTCAATGAAAATGTGGTTCTTCTCCTTAGGACACTTAAATATTGCAGCTCTGCTTTTTGACTCATGCTTGTATTGCTCTGAGTTCTGCTGGTGGGAACTAAGCCCCATTCTTAAGAGCCAGTTGACTCCCTATGCTGATTGTGGGTTTCAGTGACTGTGAGTACTCATTTGTTGCTGCACATTTGTTCCTAATACGTGTCGGCGCTTTTCTGTCTCATTCTCTGCAGTAACTCCACACAGCACGTAGTTAATGAGCAAGGTGAGCTGCTGAGCACTTTCCTGACTTCAGCTTGGAAAGGCTGAAGTGCTGTATCCAGTCTTAAACGTTTACTGTGCAGTGCAGGGTATTTCAACATGTCCTTTTTACTGTAGTGAATGCTTTTTATAATAGATATTCACGTACAAGAACAGAGTTTAAGAAGGCTTGCAATGTTGCATCTCTTGAACCTCAGGCTTTTTATAAAGACATGAAAGATGTTTTCCTGTAAAAATGGTTCTGCTGAACAGTGTGCCAGCAATGAATTTTACATTGCCAAAATATGTTGAGATGGTATTGAATTAAACTCTTCCATACTTTGGATTTCCTTGACATTTTAACTGTATATTAAAGTAAAGCACATTATCTCTAAAATGCAGTGCTAAGGAAAATCTTTTGAAGTTTTTCTCTTTATTGGTGCTAATAATCACAACATTTTCTCTGTAATTATTGCAAAAGTGATGACTGGATTAGCTTGGGCATTCTGAGATTTTTAAAGCTTGGATTCCTAGAGCTAAACTCAGAATTTGGTTTTGCACAGAAGAACACCAGTTATTTCAGCTGACTGGCTGCGTATCCACCAGTTTCAACACAGCTCAGCGAGTCTCTGATCTGCATGAGAGCACTGGGGGAGGGTCCTGGTGTCCTGTGTCAGCACAATGGATGGGTTTGTATGTACTTCACATGGAAATACTCAAAGGTATTCTACAGCTCTTATGTGCTAGTTAATTGAAGAGGTCACTGTCACCATACTCAGTCTGCTTCCTGATAATCAGATTTTCTTCCTGTTGATTTAACAACTAATTCTGTCATTACTTTTTTATTGCTCAATAAGGCGGTATGGAATTAGTTAAGGAGAGAGCAGAACCCTGTTCCCTGTCTGATGCACTTTGGACAGAACTATCATCTTCTGGTTCAAAAGCTGGAACTTTTTGCTTTGATTTTTGGTTTTGACTCTGCTGGATATAAAGGGAATGTGCAAAGACAGCAAGCAGTTGTGTTTGGCCTGTAGGATTTTCCTGTTGTCGGTGATGTCATTGACAATGTGAGAGGGGGAACAACCCACATCCAGTGTCCCAGAGTGGGATGAAGCCTTGGTAACCAGCTGACACATTTTTTGCTGGTAGAGTAAGTCAAATGAATCATCAGCATCAGACACTTTGCCATTATAGTTGTTTCAGAGCTGAATTTACATTTCTTTCTCCTTTGTAGATAAAAGTAATATTTTGTTGTTTAATTAAAATGGAAGAAGGCTTTTAAATCTGGTAAACACTCCTATCTGCCTGGTTCTGTTCCCTGCAGAGGCAGCCTTCTCAAGGAGTTAAAGCTTTAAACAAGAAGTGTTTCATTGCTTTCATTTTCCAAGAAAAGCTGTACTAATTCATATGCTGTATTGTAGTAACACCAAGAACAGCTGGTTCTCTATAAGCTGGAAATGAGACAACAACTCTCATTCATGTGCATTAAGCCCCACAGCAGAGGACATAGTGAAAGGGGCAATTCAGATTATTCCCCAAGTGAAGCATTTATGGTAGAAAACAAAAAGGAATGTCCACTTGCAAAGAGATCACATCTCTTTGGGGGTATCGTAGAGAGCTTTTACCTGCCAGATCTTGTGCAATTGGGAAGAAAGAGTTTTATCTCCACAAGAAGCACGAGTCAGAAGTAGCTAGTTTGAAATATAAACCACCCTTTTTGACTGTGAGACTGAGCATTGCATCATTATACAAAGGTCAAAAGCTTAGTTTGCACTGCGTGGGAGATTCATCCAGTGGGTGTGAAAATCCAAAGAAAACTTTCCTGGATTTTGCAGGAAACCTAGGGCAGCGAAGAGGACCAAAAACCAGCCAAAAAGGACCAAACCCAGCCATGCTGAGCGCAGCCAGGGGCACAGGGCACTGCCTCAAGTAGAGCTGCTGGGTGACCTTAAGGGGAGCACACGTGTGTGTGCACATGTGCAAATACTTCGTTTTTACCACTACATTACAGTTTTCATAATGATATTTGTTTTATCAAAAAGTTCAGTTTGGGGTTTTTTTACATCTTTGGGGTAGTCACAGAAGAGGTGATGTACTGTAAGGATATAGCCCACCACTTGCAGTTTACTTGCACCATGAAAAAAAAAAAAAGAGAAAAAAATCAAGCCTAAAATGTCTTACTAGTCAACTTGGTTTATTTGGTGTTTTCCAAAGGTAGTCAAATTCTGATTTTCCCCCCATATCCCTTACATACACATTAACAAAAGGAATCATTTTTTCTTAGAACGTAACATTCAACCTCTATTTGGAACAGGTTGCTTCTGCAGCAGCAAACAATCTGCCTTCCTTTAAGTGAGAACTTCAGTCAAAAGAAAAGAATTCTCTAATTTCACAATCCCGTTGTTTCTGAACTTCCTTTGTTCCTGAACCTCGTCTGTTGCAGAAGCAATTTTTAAAGCCTCAGCCTGTCGACTCATCCTATTTTTTCAGAATCTGAAATGGTATTGTGGACTAATTCCACTTTTATCACAACAAATGAGTAGTTAAGGATGACAATAGAGCACTTGTAAGGATTAGTTAGTGGGGTTGAGTTTATAGTGCCAAAAATCTGAAATTCATGTCAGAGTATTCTCAACTGAGGAATCTAAAACAAAGAAAGTACTACAGTACTGCCAAAGGAAAATGCAAGTAATTGAGAGAATAAACAACAGAAAAAGAGCCAGCTGAATTCTTTCAGTTCTCTCTTTTCTCCGTCATTGACAAACCTTTTCTGAATCATTTTATTGCCATTAAAAATAGCTTTAGTTAAGCTGAAGAGAGGTCATTTAAAAAGCACAGGTAGTACAGAAACTCTCAGGACATCTGTATATATATATATAGGTTTTGGACTCATGAAAAAAATCCAGTTTTCCAGTGGTTTGTGGCCTTTCTTTATAAGGTTCATACCATATATACAGAACTTAAATGCAGGATTTTTAAAAATTCCATATTCAGATTTAAAGAGAATATTAATTAAATGAAACTAGAAGTCAGTGCTGGGTCAGCTGTTCCAGAACTCAGATCACTACTAGGGAAATACACAGGAAGCCTCTCAGTTGCTATAATGCCTAAAATATGGATGATGTATAAAATCCCTGTTTCTCAGAGACTGGTCTGGCAGTTCAGATGGAGAAGGGGACAGCAACAATTTGAGCCTTTGCTGACATTTCACACTAAGACTTTGACTTTTGTCCAGACTTGAAGAGACCAAGTTTAATTTCCTTACTGCAGCATTTGCCAATATTTTCCTATTTGAAATCCTAGAGAAAGAGATCTTGAATCCCGTTACTGTAAATTTTGCGAGTGTTCTCTTTTCACTGTGCATTTGTGGATTTCCACATACCCAGACATTACACCAAAGTCAGAGAAAAGCCTTGGGCATAGGAGCAACTTCTGAGTCCCAAAAACTGGGTTGGGTTTTTCAGTTAAACCCCTTGCTGCCTTTTTTTTTTTATTTTAAACTGCAGAACTGCAGAATTTTGAATTAGACTCATGTTTCCTCTATGTCCTGATGTAAGAGATTCCCAAAGGAGCGGTAGGGGCTGTGTTCTTTGAGCCACACTGGACTCTGTTGCACTCTCCTCTGGTCAAACAGGGAGAGCAGGGGAAAACCCCTGACCTGCATCTACAGGAACACGGACATGGGCAAAGGGAAGAACGGAATAGTGGTCACTGGATCTAAGCTGGGAAAGCGGCTTCTAGTGATCATCAATGCCATGCTGTAACACTTCATCTACAATAACTTCCAGAAAACACATTTCATGCTACAGCTTTCAGATGTGTTTGGGTAAGAACAAAAAACAGGTGCTGGTGCTTGGGACTGGAGATTCACAAACTCAGCTGGGCTGGCATCAGAGCGCCTGCACGTGATGATCCACATCCTGCAGACCACACTTCCTCCATGAAAACCCTTCTCTGGGAGTAAGCACAGAGTGCATCCCATCTCTGTTTCTTCTGCTTCTGTTATGTGAGCAGCCAATAATTAAATATTTTTCTTTCCTATTCCAAACACATCCATAAAACAAAGCAGCAGTAGTTCGGAGTAGTATTGTTTTAGCCTAAGTGTTCTGAATAGTCACGAGGCACCTTATAAACCACTGTAGCTGTTCTGCTAGAGCTAGTATAAGGCTTTAAAAATGCAAGTGTTAAAAAGAGCATAAAGAATTGTGCAGCTATTGCAAAATACTTAACCAAGTTACTAGGCAATTTCCTTCCAAATGGAACTGTTAGGCAGCGATACTCCTGGGCTGATTCCCCTCCTGGCAAGGCCTTCTGGAAGCCATGTCTACCTGAAAGCTGTGAATTTGTACATCAAACTAAAAAGGTTTTTTTTTTTAATACGTATTCACAAAATATGGGGTTTGCAAACCAATACAAAATGCTCACATTTTAAGTTTACATATAAATGAGTACCTCTTACACTATGTAAAGTGAAATTTCATTCACTTGAGAGCATGCTTTTTAAGTAATCATTGATTTGGACAAATGTCTTGGAAAGTGGCAGTATCCACATTTTAGCAACAATAAAAAAGGGTTGGGAAGAGATTAGAAATCTAAACAGAAATTCTTGCAAGCTAGTGAAGGTCGGGCCCGGCAGCCGTTTGGCAGCGCCGCAGAGGGCTGTGTGTGCACTGTGTCCTGGGGCAGCCCAGTGTCCTGCTGAGCACAGCCCAGTGCTTCCCAGACAAGCAGGACAGTGATGGAGGACCTGTCCTCAGGAGATTCTGCCTTTTTTTAAAGGTTAGTCAGTGACACAAAGGGTGAAGCTTAAATCCTTTTTCTGCCTCTGGGTGTCTGGGAGCACTCTCAATAGTTGCTGATAAAAGGAGAAGGGGGGGACTGCATCTTTTTAAGCCTGGCTTCTGTTCTGGTACTGAGCGTTACAGGTCTTAACAGATACCTCCTTTGTTTATTTTCTTTTCGGTTAAATCTGTCATTTGTTCTAGTGTGACTGAGATCTGAACCTGTCCTTGAAAGCATCCAAACACACACAGCTTTCATTGCGGTGACAACTGAAGGTATCTCATGTCACAAACTGTATCATTTCTGCTCCGTTCTGATCTGTAGCACAGCAGAGCATTCAAATGGCATGTGCTAAAAGTGAACACTGCACACGCTGCTTTTACCTGTATTTGTGACTTGGCATGAAAAGCAGGTCCTCTGATTTGGTTGAGAAGCCCAGCACTGTGTGGTGGTGGTGAAGCATCCTGAACTCCTGACTTCGGAGCAGGGCTCAGCCCGAGGCCCCACATGAGGACCTACCATAGGCACTTCATTTTTAGGTGTAGCTACACTAAGGACTGCAGTCCACCCTCAGGAAATGTGCAGCTTTCAACCCCGCCGTTGGAAGTGATGTGCCCAGAGCTGATGGCAGAAGTTGGCTGGAGGTGCTTTGCAGAGGGCTTTGCATGGTTTGGCTTTGGATTGCTATTTACAGGCACTTCACTGTCCTCATACCTGTAAGCTCCTCATTGACCACGGCTGAAGTACCTTCTGTGGGTTTCCATACAGCTGCACACCAATCCTACAATATTACTTCGATGTAAACATAAACCTCTTTACAAAAAGTAAACACATGCTACCAGTCTAACCCTAAAGCCTAGAGCAATAAGAAGCCAGTTCAAGCCTAAGTACACATTAAATAGCTTTGGAGTCAAATTAAATAAAAAGCTAAATTACAAGCAGTTAAGATCTCCATTGCTGCAGAGTATGTTCTAGCTCTGGGTCACGCTTTATATCTTCGCACTGTCTTGTTTTGGTGGTTCTGCTGACTGCGTTTCCAGGACTGAATATTTAACTAGGGAGAAAGAAAAAAAACCATGAGTACAATAGCACATGATGGAACCAGGGCGCAAGCAACGGGCGCCCGGCACTTGCTGATTGTATGTGACATTGGAAAAGCCTTTGCAGCAGCCTTGATTGTCTGTCACTGAAAGAAGGATCACGCTTCTCTTGTGCAAGACACTCGATGGCTGGATACATGAAAGCTAAATATTAACTGCCATCGTTTGCAGCATGAGCTCCTTGGGCTTTTACCATGGCTTTCCTTTGTGTGCAATAAAGGGGGAAAATCGCTGTGGTGGGTGTTTCACAAAAAACTGCAGCACCACCTAAGCAGTGCCCTCATCAAAGGGACACAGCAGCTCCATGCAGCACCAGGGACTTTAAAGAAGTCCCTGGGTAAAGCAGCTTTTGTGGCCAGATGCAGGCAGGGGTAAGGGACACAAGGCTCTCACCTTGGGGCTCCTCGCTCACAACAGCTTCCATGTTTTCTCCTTTCACATACTCCGCGTTAAGTCCCTCTGAGAAGTATAATGAACAGAGTGAGATGGGAAGGGTATGAAGTAAAAATTATTTTCTTTGATACCTTAAAAACTCTGGTGATGGGCCTGTGTGCTGTAAAAGCCAAGATGCCTTTTTGCAACCTCCTCTGCAGTGACAGCAGAGCAGAAGCCTCAGTAACCCACAGTCAGTGCTGAGAGACTCGCTGGGTTTCAAAGTGCCCACAGACTCTCCTGGCAGACACAGCTCCCAGCAGTGGCTCTTTTGTCTGAGGCTCTTGCTTCATCTTTATCACGCGAGGCAGCACAGCTAATTCCTGTGCTAAGGCGCTCAGCCCGGAGTGCAGGGAGGAGGAGGAAGGTTTCCCGGCCGGGACTGCTGTGCAGCGGGAGCTGCGCCTCGGCAGAGATGTGGCACAGCCTCATTAAAAGCTAAGTTATGCAGAGCTTCCAGCAGCAGTTCAGAACAGGGCTGTGGTGATGAAGCAGAATCCCAGTGGGGTGTCAAATCCCGAATAAGTCCCTTATTTAAATGCAAAGAAGTTCCCAACGTTTGCAACAAGTGGAGCCCAGGCTAAGGAGCGAGGCTGAGCTCTGCTGGGTACAGGGGTGGCTGCACGAGGGTGGGCAGGGGGAAGGGGGTGGCACTGCTCCCTGAGGTCCAGCTCAGAGCTGCAGGTGAATTCAGACAGTCTGGGGTGTGCCATGGACCTCAGGCATCCTCTGCAGCTCCCTCTGAAGGATGAGTGAGGGGAGAGGCAGAGGTGGGAGTGCTGTGCTAACTGTAGCATCCGTTAGGGAGGGACCAGAGAAGGGGAGGGGATCGAGCTGTTTGCGAAGGAAGCTTGAGGCAATCAGGCCATGCAGCACACATTTTTTAGGCATCTGAACTTGTTTGCACATCTAAATGCAACGCGAGGTGTGGCAGAGACTGGCTGTGCCTCACCACCAGGTTTGGATGGGGTTCACTGGTATCTGCCAATGCAGGAGGGAGGCACAGAACAGTGCCGGGGCCAAGCCAAAGCAGTGCCACAGCCCAGGGGCACAGCCGGTACACGGCAGGTGAGGTGTAAGATAAAAAGGTGGGATGAAGAATTCTAGGGAGCACTGTAAATGTCCTTCAGAGGAATCAGCAAATGCTCCTCAGAAGCGACTCAAAGCCGAGGAGTGGAGCCGCAGCCTCGGCCCTGCAGGACAGCTGGGCAAGAGAAACAGCCCAGCCTGTTCCTCCTGTGCCAAGAGAGTGGTCACTGCACACCACCACTGCCTCCGCCCTGACATGTGTTTTGCTGGGATAACACCAAATGCAATTTATGTTTTTCAATAAAAAGCCACTTTTGCAGCGGCTGACGGCTCTTAGATTTCTGTCATGCATTGCAATGCGTCTAAGGCCTGACATTAGCCCAGCATGCCATGTCTGATGGCTTAAATTAATCCTCCTTTATAATTAACTTTAATTTCCTGCCGCCTTTCTGGGGCTTTGTGTCTCTCAGCTTCCCCCTCATCAAAGCCTTTACTCCTTTTTTTTCTTATTATTTATTCTTGCCAAAATAACATTTAAGTGGGGGGAATATATAAGGGGTGTTTCATTCCATCACATTCATTTGACTTTTCCTGCTGATCTAATTTACCAAAATGCTGTTTGTTTCAGGCACAACTGGGAAAATAGCACGATTCCAGCAGAAATTTCCAACCCTAAACACCCTTTCCCTAGAGCAAAGGGGACTCACAGGAGATTTCAACTGATTAATTTAGAAGGGAGCTTCTCCCAGCTGTTTGCAACCCCTCTCCTATAAGGGGCTGCGGGAACCAGGTGGGTGCTATGGGCTGAGGCTGTCAGGCCACTCCTGCAGTGCTTGCACTGAGCAGCTTTGCAGGGCACCTCGTGCAGATGGTGTTTTCTGTGAACAGGAAGTTTTGCTGCTTAATTTGCCCTTAAGTGCAGGGATTGCAACACACCTGCTGAGGGTGTGGTGGGCTGAACTCCCTCCCGGGCTGCCACAGCTGCAGACACTCCCTCTGCTTCCTCCCCTCCTGCCTGGTGAGTTTTTACTGCCTCTGAGATTTTGGAGGATTTTTTTGGTTTATTTTGGGGTGGTTTTTTTTTTCATATTTACCATGTTTGGTGTTGATACTTTGGTCTTGGGCTGTGACTGTCTGTTGAGGGTGTGAGGGGCCATGCACAGCCCCTGGGGTGGCAGGGGGTCCTGGGGCTGTCACTGCTGGTGGGTACCTGCTTGTGGAAAGCCTGATGTGGTGTAAGGGGGGACTCAACGACCTGTGCTTGGGGCTTTGTTCTGCCAGCCTGGGGGCACTGGGTGCCTGAAACCCCATCTCCAGGCTGGAAAATAGCAGTGGGATTCAGGGGGAAAATAGGAGTGTGCTTGCTCTGTGCCCCCAGGGTGCTCAGGGAGGGACTTACGCTGGATGCTGAAGCAGAACTTCTTCTGCTGGTAGGAGATGTAGCTGGAGACGGCCCCGATGAGCGCCATGGCCAGGCCGCTGGCGATGCCGGCGATAGTTCCCGTCTCCGCCACTGTGGGGCACAGAGAGAGGGGGGTGCTGTGCAGTAGGGGCACGCACACCACCCATTCCATCCCAGCATCCCACTGCTGCCCCTGCATCCACGGCAGCACCTACCTCCACTGTAGCTGTCGTCGGTGTTGCCCTCGGCACCTGCAGAGACACAAGCCCATCAGTGGCCCCGCACCCCTCTGCTCCCCCTGCTGCTGTGCTGGGAGGGGGAGGGCACACAGCAGAGGGGTGGCAGTGCAGCCCTGGCGGCACCCTTGGGCTGGGGGTGAGCAGATACCCCTGTGGGGTGCAGCATCTCTGCTGCCCCATGGCTCCACCAGGCTGCCCAGGGCAGCTTGTTGTTGCTTCTCAAGAGGGGTCTGAAGCTGCTCCTCTCCCACTGTGTGTGCCTCTGCAGGACACACCTCTGCCTGCATGATAGTTACCCTCATCCCTGCCCTTTGCAGCTCCGCTGCTCTCAGTGTAAGGAGAACACCTGAAAGACTGTCAGAGCATTACACAGCACACTGGTGCCATCACAGGGAGGTGACTGGCTGAGCTCCATCGTGTCAGGGAACCCTCACTTGGCTTTCAGTGTATTTCACCTTCCCTGGAGAAACAGAGTGGAAGGAGAAGCTGCTCCCACTGGAAGCTGGGTCCTTGCAGAGTCACTTACATCCTGAATTTATGGAAGCAGGTCAGTGTTGTATTAATGCCTCTGATGCGTCCTGTCCTTGGCACAGGAATTCATTAAATGTTGATTGGGCTTGTGGCATTCAGCTCTTTACACGGCTGCTTTTAATATTTAATACTGTGGATCCTCGCGAGCACACGGGCTTATCCGACTGCTGCTGGTTTTCCCCCTTGCTCCAGACAGTGGTGGTTGTGTGGTGGAAGGCAAATGAAGGCATGTGCCCTCTCATAGCACTGGAGTGGGTGATAGGGGAGATACAGACCCCACCTGCCCTGGTGGCAGCTGGAGCTGCAGACCCACCACAGGATCAAAACCAACCGGTAACACCAGGTGTGACCATGGGGGCCAAAAACTTTTCCCCTCAGCTCCATGGCTGGGACCCTTTCTGCCCCTGCCATGGAGGTGAGTGCTGCTCTGTTCAGAGGTCTTTCCAGGAGTCTGGTAGATTATTGCCAAATTACCAGTTTGGTGATTGCTGAGCCTGAGCTGCAATTGCTAAAGCAAACAACTGTACACAGGTCACCGCTTACCCTTCTTCTTGTCCGGGCTGTATCCGCCGTCCACGATGCTGAACAGGTCATCATCCGAAATCCCTTTAAAAGGAACAGGAATAAACGGGGTTGGCACCTGTGGGAGCCATGGCTGTGATGGAGGTTGGTGTCATGGCCTGCTCAGACCCCACTGAGAACTGGGACTGCTGAATAAGCAGTTCTGCTTCTCTCACGATTACCAGACGTTAACAAAATGTTTAACCCCAGATTATTTTAAGGTCATAGAAGAGGTATCAACTGACTTTAAGCCTAGCTCAAAAGAAATACCCCTAAAACAAAGTTGAAATGCTACTGTATTATTTTTTTAACTGAAATGACTGATGTATTTAAGAGTTCACGAAACGTTTTGGTACCCGGGCTCAGCTGGCAGTGGAGGAGGCAGGAAAAAGTGGTTTGTGTGTGCAGTTGCCATGCTGCTAGGGACCAGTGTGCTCTTGCCCCGCCTCTGGTGAGACCCTAGCAGCACCAGCTGGGCCTGGGGTCCTGCAGGCAGGAGCTGACCCTTACCCTTCCTTGAGGGACAGAGCGGTCCAGGGGCAGAACTGAGTAGCAGCTCTCGGTACAGGTGAAAGTGGAAATGTTTAACTCATGCAGGATAAGAACAGAGAAACATGGTCTGTGAATCTGCAGCTGAATGAGTGGTGCTGTTGAACACCTCTGCTCTGGTCCCAGAGGGAGCCTTGGTGTGCAGCAAGGCACATGATGGCAGAAGAGACCCAAGGCCGAGCCAGCAGAAGGCTCCTTCTCTGATGCTGAGCCTTGGGAAGGGTTTCCTTTGCCTTAACGGCCTGGAAGAGACTGCCTTATTCATCAGCTTACCACAAAAAACAGATTTATGGGCTTAGTAATGAGTGTAAAAAGAATGAAAGCCCTGACTATGCCAGAGCCTGGAGAGGTCCCAGGCAGTTGAGGGAGCAGCGGTGCCGGGGGAGCGCGTGTGCTGGTTTGCAGCCAGTGCCACGTTCCAGCGGTTCGACACCTCAACCTTTCCTGCAGGAGCCTGAAACCTCAGCAAGCCCAGAATACCAAAGTGCAGACAAGTCACCTAGTTAATACAATGTAATAAAATACCTGACCGTTAATTACGCGTGTGAGCAGGGTATACGGCCATCCCGACATCAATAAACCAGCCGTGCAAAGTCTGTTTCCCAGCTCAAGTGCTCAGGGGAACAATCCTCATAGACAAATGATTCATTCACTGGAGTATTTCAGAGAGGGAAAAAAAAACCTCCCAGCCCATAGCACATGTTATGCCGGGGCTTCAGCCTGCTCTAGATTTACACCTTGGCAATGACTGCGAACCCCAGAAGCACACGCCCTCGGTTAAAGAGCTGTCAGGTACAGGGACAGGGGAACTCAACACAACTACTGCAATTTAATGGGTCAAAAGAGACCCTGGGGAAAAAAACCTGCAGACAGAGAGGCAGCAGGTCATTAGGAAGAGCCCCTCTCTGCCAGGGACTGTTGAGGCAGGGGCTCCTTCTCTCCCCAGGGCTGAGCTGCCTGCAGAAAATCCCCAGTGTGGGCAGGCAGGGCAAGGGTGAGGCACGACCCCAGACCAGGCAGCACCTGTATCCCTTTATCCCATCACTTAGTGGGGGTGATGTCTGGCAGTGAGGGGCTGGGGAGGATCTCCTGCAGGTTCCAGGGAATAGCAGGACTGGTGGCAAGCAGGATGGAGAGGAGAGGTCAGCATACCGTCACCTGGCCTTTGATCCGGCCTCCCGGGATCTTTCTTGGGATCGTTCTTATCATCCAAGGCATCAGCCAAGTCAAAATCCATAGGGTCCTTTTCTAGAAAACAAGACCAGGGTTAGCAATGTGGCTTCAGGCTGAGGAGCTCTGCAATTAATTCATTAATCAAGGAAACATTCAGCTTTGCCAGGGAAAAGCACTGTTGAAAGAGATGAAGTCTCTGACACAAGCATCTCCCAGTTCCACTATTCAGCCTTGTGGCAGATCTTCTAAACCCATCCCATTCCATGTCCCTGTGGTGGGAAATGTCATATCCTTCCTGCAGAAACAGTCTCGCCATGGCTGGATTGCCAGGCAATTGGATAAATGAAGCCAGTAGGAAAGGTCAGAGCCACACAGGCACTCCAAGGGCCCAGCCAGTGGAGGGGAATGAGGTCGTTGCATCACCCTGATGTGCTGGCTGGAACAGCCTGTGACTTGATTTCTTGGAGTTATTTTCTTCCACGAATGCCCAGCTGGTCCCCCGAGCAGCCTGGCTCTGAGAGAGGTTATTGCCTCTGCTAAATGGCATCAAAAACCACGGCATGGAGCCAACTGAGCTCCTCAGCCCTCCCACCAGTGCTCACCTGAGTTTGTTCTGATCCAAAAGTGGGGGTTTTTTTAAGCCTGGAAGTGCCTTTGCCAAAACTCTGCCTGAGCAGGCAGCAAAACACTCAGCTGACAGGGTGCCTGGAGCCTGTGGGGTGGGTGTGCTGGTGGAGCCCAGCCTGGCTGTGCCATGATGGGGAGGACAGCGAGCTTACAGCCTTCCAAAAGGTACAGGGATGAAAAATGGTCCAGGAACCACTTAGGGCTCCAGGGAAGTGCAGGGTAATGCTGAGAAGCCCTGTCTGCTCTGTGGTTTTTTATATTTGTTTTTTTCCCAAGGTGTCTCATGTGAGCAAGCAGACTAGAGGCTGGGAATACAAGGGCAGTGCCACTGTCATGGCACATCCCAAAGCCTCTGCCTGTGCCAGCAGCAGAGCCAGGGCAAAGCTGCAGGGGCTGTGGGGCTGATGCTCACCTGGATTACGCTTAGGAGGGGCTCTCGTAGTTTTTGGCTGCTTGGTTGTGGTGGTGCGGATGACGTCCCAAAAGCTGTTGTCTGAAGAGAGGGGAAAAAAAAGACCAAAATCATGTTCCCTTCTAAAACGTGGGTTCAGGCAAGTGCTGGGAAGGGAAAGCCCCCTCCCTGCAGGGAGACAGGGGCTGCACTGGGCTGGTTCAGTGCTCTGCTCTCTCCACAGCTTTACTTGACACAGTGGGCACCCCTGCCCGTGGGTGCCCTGGGGATGCTTGAGCCCACAGGGCATTACCTGGATTCCCTGGCCTGGGGTAGGGCTTCGAAGTCGGCTTGGCTGGTTTGGTGGTAGTCTCCAGAGGCGTGTCAAAGAAATCAGCCAAATCTAAGTCTGCAGGAGAGAAGGGATTGTCAAACCTCTGCTGTCTGTGGGGATGGTGTGAGGCTGTGGGCAGACATCCTGCCCAGAAGCTCTGCAGGTGCTGTGCACCTGGTGCTGCACCACTGTCAGGGGCTACTGGAGCCCACGTCAGCCTGGAGCTGGAAAGGGCATCCAGCCACTCCACTGCTTAACTGTGAGCTACAGCAGAGCCTTCAGACCACCATGCTCTGGCTGCTGCCAGCCCCAGCAACCCCAAAATAATGTGGGGGAGCCTGCCAGTATCCTGCAGCATCTGCTGAGAGCTGCTGCAGAGGGGAAGGTGCTGTGGGGCCGAGCCAGTGGCTGGACACGCTCTGCTCCCAGTGCAGCCGCCTGTGAGTGACCAGCTGAACAGGGCATGCATGGGAACGGGGCCAGGGCACGGAAACCCACTGCAGGAGCCCCTCAGTGCCATCGTTCATCCGAAAAGGACCCCTGGGGAAGAAGAAACTGTCTGAGAAGAAGCCTCAGCATGTGTCCATTTCCCAGGGAGAGTTTACTGGATCGAACAGCCTCCCGTTCGGGCTGCAGTCCAAACGCTGAAGCCCTGCGCGTGCTTCTGGCACTCGGCTTTTCTTTTCCTTAGCAAAGACCATGGTGTCCAAGGAGTCAGACAGTTGAATTTGCTTAGATTTGTGCCAAGATCCTCATGCAGGGGTGAGCGGATTCACTTCCGAGCGCTCCCCTGCCGCAGTTTATTTCAGGCTCCTCTGGCGGGGTTGAGCAACGCCGGGCTCCTGTGACCACGCTATATTTAAATAGCACTCTTTGGCCAGAACTGAGCCAGAGGAGCTGCTGGCAACAAAACTCGGGTGAATTTAAGGGAGCTTCCTCAACTGTGGCACTGCTGGGAGCCAGCCAGCCAGCACATCTGATGTGCACAAACAGTCAGACAGACACTCTCCCATAGATGGGGAAGTGTCACCAGGCTGGGACTTTCCATAGAGGTCAGGGATATCTTGGAGTAAAAAAAAAAAAAAAAGGAAAGAAAATATCCTCTGGGCTTCCTTCTGGAAGGAAAGCTAGCAGGTGCCACGCAGCCAGGAACAAAAGCCCTTGTGTAGCTGAGCAGTGATTTGTGTCTTTTCCATTAGGATACTGCAAAGTGTGCGAAATTCAGCCTTGGCTGTAAATGCTCTGCTGCCACTTGCCTTCAGCATGGACAGAAATATCAATATTGCATTTCTTTGGCTGCACAGGAGCAGTGCATGTGCACACACTGGCTCCAGCTTCCCTATGGGCAAGTGAAGGGGTCCCAAAGCACCTGCTGAGAGCACCACCCAGCCACACACAGGCACCTGTGGGGGCCTACAATGTTCAAATCCCAGTGGGAAGCAAACCCCATGCTGGGCTGAGCATGCAAGAAGGTCTCACCTGTTCCACCTGCAGGCTTTCTGGGGCCCTTGGGAGTGGCTGTGACAAAACAGATGGGGAGGAAAAATGTTAATCATGGGCATCAGTGAAAATGTCACCTCTAGACTGAGAATAACCAGCAAAGATTTCACCATGACTTTCCGACATCTGCATTTGTAGACTCGGGGCCCAGAGCCACAAGCACCCCATACACAGTGCATGGCCACAGGGAGCAGGACTGCCCATGGACAAGGACAGAGCTCAGTGCTCCACAGGGCACTGCTGTGTCGGGCTGAGCCCTGCCCTCGGGCAGCCACCAGCCCACCCCAACTGGTGAAAAGGAGGGAACTGTAACAATCTGCTCTGAATTAAGGCTCCTGGAGACAGCAGCAAACAAGCAAGAACAGACACTGTACAGAACAGCGTGGAAACCAGGAGTGAGTTGCCAGTGTTTTGTTGTCCCCTGGTGGGTCGGTCGGTTCAATGACAGATAATTTCCAGTGCCATGTTATGTACGGGAGGTTCCCTGTCAGCTGGAGGGATTTTGGTGACACCCTGATACCCAGATCCCAGCTCCCTGACTGCTCCTGGGCTAAAACAAGATACAGCCAGCCTTTGAGGGGGAAGGGAAGGGACAATATGGAAACCACTACCTATTAATAGTGGCTGGCATTACCAAGTATATGAATAAATTATGAGCAAGAGCTGTGGCTGCTCCATTCCCATTAGTTTCTGTTAGACCGGAGTGGTGCTGCTGGGCTTCATTTCCAGTGTGTCAGTATGGTTTGAAGTGACCCAACTCCAGACCCTGGATTTGCTATTATTCTAGGGCTGACACAATGAATCCAGAGTGGGATGCAGCAGCTGAGGAGGCTGCAGGGACAGCACTGCCTCTTCCCTCCACTCACTGCTGGGATTCCAGCCTGGGGAATGCCGCTTTCCCTCCACGTGAGGTGGCCATTAGTCATTTCTAACCAGGTCTCCTCATATGCTGTATTAAAGGGCTTGCAAAATGAGTTGACTCAGCCCTGTGACCAAGCCTGAAACCCCATGGTCTATCCTCTTCCCCTCCTGCTGAACCCGGCATGCAACAGGAGAGCTGCACAGAGCATCCTGACACTGTTCCACATAATCTCCAATGTAACACAGCACAAGTGTCTGCATGTTGTTAGACTATAGCATAAGAGGTTAAGCTATAACCCTCTTATAGCTTTCACTTAAATACATGTGGGTGTGATCCCAGAGCCCAGCCTCACTCATGGAGCACTCCCTGCTGCCGCCTGGCCGGGCACTAAGTCTGGGGACAGTCACCTTGAGCCACGTGGGAAGAGATGGGCAGTGAGGGATCCTGGGTGCTGGTGTTTGCAGCTCCACCACAGAGTCTCCATGTCTGGGCAGCAAAGTGGAGCCAGAGATGTGTCTGGGTGAAGAGTGATGCTCTTCGGCTCGGCACTGGCAGGGGGTGTGTGATGTCCCAGGGAGGGAGATGAGCTTCCTCCCATCGGGTGCTGTGCCAGCAGTTAGGTTCTCTCTTTTGGGTGTAAAACACCAAATACTGAATCTCAGCATGCCAGCAGTGAGGCACCCCTTTTGGAAGGGAGTTTCCTTTGACTGATGGGCTACAGTGGAACTTAAGTGAAGCAAAGCAGCAACCTAGCGTGCCATTTGCTTTCCCAGACACTGCATTGCAATGGCAGCAGGGACCCAGTGCTGCCCTGCCTGGGTGGGCACAGTGAGCTGCCCTCACCAGCTTGTAACTAATGGAGGCAAGGAAGCCAGAGGGACGTGTTCAGTGCCATTGCTATGTCGGAACACAGGTGTACTGTGCCTCTGTGGCTCCTCACAGGAATCAGGAAGCGAAGGTCAGCAACCAGCTTCTCCAGGACTGTCCCCAGTCTCACCACAAACCTGGACCCTGTGTCTCCCAGGCAGAGATGATGAGGTAGCTGTATCCTTCACCACCCTCCCACCTGCATCAGATACCAAAGAACAAATTGCATCTATTAACATCTATTTGTTTTCCCCTCTTTAAAACAATACATAAACGTGACTTACGTCGCTTGGTGGTGAGGTCAAACAGGGCATCTTCTAGGTTGAAGTCATCTGCGTCATCCCCATGACCTGGAGACAAAGAATCAGCAATGGGTGTACTCACAAAGTAAACCACCTTTAAATAAGGCATGGCTAGACTCGTTTGCTAAAATTGCTTTAGTTTTTTGCTGTTTTTTTCCAAGCCTGACCCAACACTGGTGATGAGGAAGACATCGGCCCTCTTCGAATGCTGTGACTGTTAAATTGCAGAGCAGTCATCTTGAGATTTTCCATTTGTCTGCCCTAATGGATGCAGTATAAAGACACATGCTATGCTTAAATTTGTCAAGGAGAGCCTACCAATTCATCTCGTGAGCTGCCACTCATCTGTGGCTGTGCTCACGATTATATGTTTGCTAAACACCATGAAAACATTGGGACAGCGCAGACGAATTCAGTGAAAAACAAAAAAGCCCTATGCCCCTCTTCTCAAGTGCCTTCCAACATCAAAGGCTTCGTATGAAAATGCTGCTGCTGGCTGCCAAGCACGACTTAGCATTTCAGAGGCTGCCTGCATCATTCTGCCTCAGAAATGTGAACCAGGACCAAACCCCCATCCCAGGGATATACCTGACAGGCACAGGCAGATTTTTTTTGTTAGAGATGCCTCACCACAACTCCAGTCCCATATCCAAGGGATAACTCGGTGCTACATCATGTTCTCCTGCAACAGGGCCAGCTAATCCTTCCTTTCTCTGTCTTTTTTTCCATGGCATTAATTACTGTTGACTTACCCTAGTTCTGAACGTATTTGTCTTGATAAATTCATGCTTTTACATCTCAGAGCATGCTGAGTAATTAATATCCTTTGGGTTTGCTAAGTACTGCAGCACTGCAAGAGAACATTAAAATGGCTTTCCTCTTATTCCTACTGCTAAATGGATTTAGCTATTGCCACCTGAGCTCCAGCATGCTTCATGAATAAATTTAAAGCTTTACTGACAAGGACAATAACAACGGGAAGGCATCAGTCCATCAGAAAGCAGGTATCAGCATTTCGGTGAAAAACTTCTACTGAGAGTGGTCACTAAGTACTGCAACAGCTGCAGCTCTGGTTCCACTTACTCACACATCACATCTCATCTCGTTTGCCGTCTGTTAAACGTACACTCAGCAAACCTGAGGGTGATGTATGTGCAGGGTCTGCGGCTGGGAAGTCGCTATGGGCTTCTCCCCCCGGCAAAGGCTCGGCATGAGGCACTGCTGAGAGGGGTGTGTAAGGAACGCGTGGCCCAGCCCACGCAGTGTTTCTCATCGAGCTGAACGATGCCAATGCTCCCCTGCGAGCCCGGAGGAACGGCCAGCAGCAGGCGATGCAGGGAAATCCGTGTGAAATCCGCGGAGAGGGGCATGTGGAAGAGCCTCTTTCTCAGCGCAGCAGGGCTGTGCCAGGCACTCTCAGCCTCCCTCCCTGCCCCACTCCTCCCTTCCCGAAGTATTTCCCTCTCGGGCCTTATTGCTGGTGAAATATTGGCACTGTGAGGCAGGCAATGCCCTCCTGCTCCGACAGGGTGAAGTCACAGGGCTAACAAGCAGTCTGTCAGTGCAAAGGAGCAAAGTAAGGAACACACAAGACCATCCACAGCTCTGAAAAGCACCTGCCCAGCTCCAGCACTTGCACAGGGGGCTGCCAAGCCACCAACATCCCTGATGAGACCCGACACAATCATCACTGCTGTGGCCAACTGTCCCAGGCTTGTCAGTCTGACAACTTCATGCAGTCTCCCTTTCCCAGCACAGCTTTTTTCCCCAGTCTTTACTGGATTTTCAGGAACCAACAGGGCCCCGTCGTTCTCATCCTTCTGTTTTAAACTGTACTTAAAAATAGGTGGAAGGGGAAGCCCACGTCGCGCCTCTGGCAGGATGAGAAGCATTACAAACCCGGCTGGGGGAAGCGCACTGTCGCTGTGATAGCTGGCAGGAGGGATGAGGTGGCAGCACCAACTCACATTGGTATGCCAGGAACCACCCCTTCCCTCTCCCTCGCTCCCTCTGCTCTCCATGATTAAGTAAATATTAAGGCACTGACTTGCTGCACACCAAGCCCTGTGTTAGCACATCCACCCTGAGCTTCACCTTCCGTGGAGGAGCCCAAATACAAAGTGGGGGAGTGGACACCTGTGAGGTGTGTGCAGCTCACCCATTCTCCTGCTGAAGGGCCGTGGGGCTTGTGGGCCCTGCAGGGAATAAAAGTGTCCCAAAAAATGCCCCCCCACCACCTGGCTTTGGGAGTCTCACCAGATCCACCAGCTGGGAAGCACTTACACCTCCCTGGGTTTGCTGACAGCTCCCCTTGGCATTTCTCCCCGCAGGACACGAGGAGGGTGCCACTTCCAAAAGCACTCTCTGAAGAGCCAACTGGCATGTGAGGGCGCCCAGGTGGGTTAAAGGTGCTCAGGGCTCTCCGTGCTCTCAGGGCTGATGTAATGTCCTGGGCTGGAGCTGCATCCCGGGGGCTTTCCCACACTGGTGGGAGAGGTGTGAATGCTGCCCAGGGGAGGGTTGGAAAAACTGTCAATGCACTGAATTGCCCAGTAAAACCTTCCCAAGGAGCTGCAGTGCTTGGCACAGCCCATTACCCAGGGCTTTCCCACTGCCGTCCAGGGCAGACTGACATCCTTTTCCAGGATTCCCATAGGTGTTGGCAAGGATTAATAATAGATTGCCAGTTAATTGAAGCTGACAACATCTCTATTTCATGCAAAGGATGTTATAGAGACATATTACACCTTTTATGGATCAATAACAGAGCACTGCCGTCACAGGCACGCAAACTCCCCTGCTTGCTCCGACAGATAAGACGGGAACGCTCTCCTCGTTCCTTTATTCCATTATTAAGCAGTAACAAACCCGGCACTTCACAGCCAGACGCTGAAAGCCCCACCAGCTCTTGGTACACATTTACCTTGTGCATGCAGTTCTTTGGGAGGCAGCACTGCTGCTCCCTGCACTGTCCTTTGCAAATCCCTTTGCTCTGGAGCCCTGACACTGCTCTGTCATCACTGGAGGAGTGGGGATCCCAAAACCCATCCTCTGATGGGAACCCACACACAGCACACAGTATCTTTACATTAAGGGTTTATACTTTTCAGGAGAAGCCAGGGCACATTCCTATACACCAGCACTGACAAGCTGCTGAGCTGCAGCAGAGTTTGTCAGTAGTGCCCACACAGCAGTCAGGGTCGTGCATGCCCTGACGTGTCACCTCCCCCACAGGACATCCCTCCACCACCTACAACCTGTTACAGGGCCATAATACCACTGATATGCAAAACCATCCTCTGCTGGTTGCTCAGTGCTGGGGAGCAGTATGGGATCTTCACCAGGGTCAATGACTAGGCTTGTTTGGGGTTTTTTTCCCCGACCTTTGCAATGAGTCCTTGGAGGAACTCTGCTCTCTGGCTGCTCAGAGAAAACGCACATCCCCAAGGGTAGCTGGGGGTGACTCAAGCCCTGTGTGCCACCAGCCAAGGGCACTGAAGCATCCGTGGGTCTGCAGCTCTGCGCTGGGGGGAAACAGGCAAATGAGATGTTTACCACATTGTTCTTTAATCTGACAATCCGAAGAGACCAAGCTGGGACATGGTACCTAATATGAAACCCCCAATCCCAGCATGGGGAGATGGGGGGACCCCAAGGCTGCAGCTGTGCCAGGCAGAAGCTGCAGAACAGGGGTGAGAGTTATGGCTGAGCCAGTGCTGCAGATTCTCCCGCCTCTTGCTGAGTCCCCTCGCCTTGCCGGGGGTATTTTTAATCAGAGCTAGCTGCTCTTTGAAGGTAGAAGGGTTTTGTGCCTTAATGTATTCTCTCCTCATTATTTTCTGTAGCAGGCAGCTCAAACGCACAATTGTACTCGTCAGCTTTTTAGTTTTTACAATTATATATATATTCTAATTAAGCCCCACTGTTTGACAAAGCTTGAATTACAGTATCATAATTCACACCCAGTATATTGCCAGGCCGTCTGCAGCACTCGGAGCGAGGTGTATTCCATTTTTAGCGCCAGCCCACGGATCTCTTTGTGCAATATATATGTGTTTAGCTTCCCTGGGAATTGAGAGCCTGCGACGGTGCGAGATTGACAGCCCGGGAGATTACGGGAGAATGCAAAGCAGGTACAAGGGCAGCGCAAAGTAATTCCAACTGCCTGACTTTCATGCATCTACCTGAGGAGCAACGTGGCAGGTGGGAGAGCAGGAGGAAAGCAGGAAAGTGCGTGCTGAGGTAACCCAAAAGGGTCTCTCCAGTGACCAACCTGACCTTTTCGGCTCCACGTTGTGATGTCGGCACACGCAGGTGGTTCCCTGATGCTGGGGGCACCCACAGCTGTGCTGGGACCTCTGGGCAGGTCACTGGGGATGGGGTTTGGGTGCAGAGCTGTGTTACTGGGGCTGGACTGAATCCTTGCAGGGGAGTTTCTGCTGTCTCAGCAAAGATACAGTCCCAAAGGTCTGTGGGGAGTAAATGGCTGCTCCTCTGCGGGCACAGGTCTGCCCTGCAGCAGCTGAGGTGTCTCTGGCAGCACTGGGGGTCCCCAGGGACCTCTCCTGGTGCAGGTGAAGGCAGAACACAGCCGGCCAGAGCAGTGATCCTGGTCAGCAGAGAGCAGAGTTTCAGACTCGCCAACACTCTCCACCACTGCTGTCTCGGCACCGGCCCCAGCCACTGCCAATGTGTGAGAAATTTACTTGCAAGTGCCAAGCTTCTTGCAAATCTCAAATCCTTATTGACTGCTAAGGCCAAAGCTCAGTTCCACGTGTGTAGGGAGAGCAGTGCTCCTCAGAGCTGAGATGTCACAGTCTCTGGGAGCAGCGCTGGTGGGGCACGTGGCTAAGGGCAGCTTCACTGCAGCTGCACTGCTCTCTGGAGACAGGCCAGGCTGCCCCCTCAGCACAGACATCCTCCTCAAGGTAGTTTTGCCTTGAAAAGCAGACTCTGAACTTCCTCCAGCTCCTCAGCTGCTGGCAGGGAAGACTGGCTGCCCAGAGACATGCCCTGCACAAACAAGCCGTTGGCAGCCCGCCGGAGCA